CTGTTTCCATCCCTCTACTCAAACAGCCCATGAAAACCGAGGGCCGCTCGTTGCAGTGTGGCTTTAGCTCTGTCAGTGGCTCCTAATGAGGGGATGGACGGTCCAGGCGGAACCAGCCTAGCACTGGCTTCGTGCACCAACAGCCACAATACTAATTTAACTCACTTAATGTCCTTGAGCCAATTAACGGGAGGTGAAAAGGTTTGAATCACCAGCTGGAACGTTTTTTTGTTTAGGACAGCGGGCCTTGAATTTCACGAGCCCAGACAGCAGCGCCTGTGTGGCTGATTGCTCGTTTGTTTGTGATATTTGGCACTAATTACCTTTATGTACCCTAGATTGGCCAAACGTGGCTCCTTTGAAGGGCCTCCTTGCATTTGACACAGATTCCTTTCTAGCTAAGGGGGTAAATGGTGCTAAGTGCTGCCGTGTAAGGTTTTATTTTCTGCTTCCTAATGAAGTACACCATTACTGGATCAGACTGCATTGTTAGTGTTTATTACATAATGATAGAAAACACACAAGATTCTGGTTCTGGCATCCACTCCGTCTGCTCCTGCATCTTTGATGTTACTTTCATTTTCCACCTGTTTGTTCCATGCATTCCTCACAATCAGCCAGCCTTTGTTTGCTTCACAGCTGCATTTTATTGATTTCCTCTGATTTTGGGGGGCTCTGTCCCTTGTTTCATGCACTTTGTTTGCTGACTGGGCCTTTGTGTCGCATGCTTGTCATGTCCCAGTTTGATCGTAGCCACACAGTCAGACGAACCATGGGCGTCCAAGTCAACACAGGTAAAGTGAACCCACTCACCTGCAACCACATCTTTTTCCACTTCATCACTCCCAAACGCTGCATTCCTCATCCACACACGATTTCTAATTCAAGCATTCGTATTAGGAAAGCATCCGCCAACCTGCACTAGAAGCTTGTAGATGTAGTTTGAGACGTTTGCATAAAACAGTTTTTCTTCCCACCAACTTCTTTTTGCTATTTTACCTGCAGCTAGGAGCATTTTCAGCTATGCTACTAACCTCGACACGTCTACATGTTCAGGTGTCACTCTTTAGCCAGACGGGATGTTTCCTCAGTATGCGTCTGTAAAAATAGAAAACATGTCTTATGTGTGCTCAAAGACAACACTTTCAAAGCTGCAGAGGAGTTGTTTGGCTAAAATCTGAATGGTGACATTGTGCAGATGGAGCTTTCAGCTCCTAATTGCTCAGTTCTTCTTTTACCCTTTGCTCCTTTTTCGGCGAATGCCACAAACCACAAAAAGATCGCTTATAATGTTCCGAGTGTGACCCGACTTTGACATGTTTTGCTTGTTTTGCAGAGGCTTTAGTCATGATTTTACCAGATGGATGGTCGTTTTAGTAAAACATAAATAAAGTTAAAGGCATCCAGGGATAGCAGGGTTCTGTTTGCTCAGAAAACATCAACATAATGACTCTCTCGCCTCTTCAGTGAGCTTCATTAAATGTGAAATGAAACAAATAAAAATAAAAAAAATGTTTCTGCAGAAATCGGTTCTGGTGATCTTAATCACAATAAATGTAGAATTTGTCTTTCAGAACCACAAAAGAGAGTTATATAAAGAATTCAATTAAAAGAAAAGATGTAAATTAAGAAAAATAGGTGCAACAAAACCTCACGGACCTGGAGTTCAGAGACCAGCCTGATGCCTCTGAAAACTTATTTGACCACGTATGAAGCTGTAGAGGCTTGTTAGCTGTATTTTCTGCTAGAGGTAAAACTCATCAACCGTCTGATCTGTGTCACTTCTCAAAGAATCAGGTTGCCATGTCTGGTCATATCAGCCTGCTGTCCACTATTTGGTTTTTAAGCTGGACTACTCTTCGGGACGGAGACGTATTTCTGTCAGTGTGGGGAGAAAAAGGACCAACATCTCGTTATGTTATGATATAAATCTCATTTTAGGAGAAACTTTCTCATAATAACGTGCTTGATAATAATGAGATTTCTCCAAAGGGTGAAACGCAGACGTCAAGCGGGATGTTTGAGTCTCTGACCAGAAGACACCGAGTGAGCAGATGCAGTCAGAGAAAGCGTCTTTATGTCTTCTGCAAAAGCAGTAATTCATCTGAGGAACTTGTTGCTACACACTTCAGTCCTACTGGGATTTCTTGGTCGGGCAATGCTGTGGTACTTCTGGTTTGTAGTTGATGAACAGCTTTCAAAGTAAAAGTTAACTTCCTGTTTGGGCTGTTTCACATTAAAAGCTTTCAGACTTTATGACATTAACAAAACGACCTTTATAAAAGTAAGTACTGATATTACATTAGACATGTTCCCTTTGTGTGGTAAATCCTTTTGTTGTTAAGCTGCTCTTACGCAACCTCTCAGTATCAAGATTTGTCAGTCGGTTGCCTTGGCAACGGGGTATGCTTGGCGGAGCTGACAGAGAAGTTTGTAGGTTTAAGCATTGTTGTTTGGCGTTTTCCCCCGTTGCCCTAAAAGTGGCATCAAGAGCTACCTCATTCATTCTGAGTACAACGCCGCCGCAACACATAGTTGGCATTTTACCTCATTTTTATAAGATATTTGTCATGTCTAGAGAATCTTTCTCCTTAAAGTGACTTTTAATAATAACACGAGAATGTTTCTTTCTATTACGAGATTCTGATCATTTATTTTTCCCACGCTGACAGTAATAAGCCACTGTACTTAAATTAAGTGTCCAGTTCTTCTGAACGCTAGTTCCACACACGCCTATTGAGGCCATAATTATATCTAGGTGAAGGATGAAAATAGGTAAAGCACTATTTCCAGTTCTGTACGCCAGCCCCAGTTAACCTAAGGTCTAAAGATCAATAGCAGCTGTAAAAGCTTCATACGGTTTAATGCTTTATCTCTCAGATACCCTAACCCTTTCCACACAAACCAAAACCACGAGTAGACACGTACACTGATTTGTGTCTTAATCACAGCTGACAGTAAACACAACTCTTAGCTTTGGTGGGTTTGGAGCAACGTAGCCCTGATGTAATTAATGACCGAGGCATGTCATATTCTCGAGGACATCCCTAGCTTCAAATATCTAAATGTCTCAGATAAACAGCCTTGGTTCAAGGCACTGGTGTCCATGTAGTCCGCGGCATATTGATTTCCCCTTGTAGTCGCATTCCTCGTGTCTATTTGGATCAGTCATGTGACCTGTACAGATGAGTGATGCAACCAAACACACTTCGCTACAGTTCCACGTTGTTGTTTCTGTGCTGTGTTAGTGACTCCATATCCCTCAGGAATCCTGTTACCACGCTAGAGAGAAACTTTTGGGCCATTCCCATCTGTACCGGGTCAGCCCCAGCCTGGCCCGGTTGATTCCACACATCCTTGCCTTAAGCCCATGTGGGCTGATTCTACCCACCAATCAGAGGCTTGCTTTAATGGAAGGTGTGAATTTGCTGTCAGCAGTGGGTGTGTTGGCCCTGGTCGGCCTGAAGCAGACCCCCTCGAGAAGAGGGCTGAGAATGAGCCTTGGTTGGCCCGGAAAAATTCCAGGCCACCCAGATATGTAAACAACCTACGCTACCCGGCCCGGGCCGACCCGGTACAGATAGGAATGGCCCAAATGTAGGATTGTGAAAAAGCTCCATGAAAATGACCAGATAGGGTTTGTGTTTAGTTAACCGTAACCCTAACCCCCGTTAGACCTGAAACAGCTGAGAAACATTTCTGCCTCACATCGAATAAAGGTCTGACCCTGACTGCTCCAGCATGCCCACTGTGACCACTCTGTGTGTAAACAACTATATTATGATAAATATATATTTTAATGATATTCATTTGAACTATTGTCCTACTTGATAAATGGACCCAGCTAACTATTGTCACTGATCAAACGAGTGGTCTCAGGCTAATCATACTTTCCTACAGAGAGTGGGCCATTACAGTGACTGATTCATTTTTTTAATGGATACTTTAAAATTAGATTAATCCTAGTGATCAGCTTTGTCACATACCGTAATTGAAAATACAGAAATGTATAGCTGAAATAAAAAACAGCAATGAGCTATAACAAGCATCATCAAACTGGCTTTTATTTGCTGACTGAATTGTTTTGCAGATTTTTGAATGGCATATTTTAACTTCTTATCTAGATTTACATCAAAAACTTGATCTTGCACCGAAAACACCAAGTTATTATTATTTTTTGGACAGATTTAAAGCAAACGTTTCAATGAACAGTTTTTATTTAACAGTTTTAACAATAACTAGAGACGGCTGCAGTCATGAGCTCAGTGATAAACAAAGAAGGGAGTCCATCAGCAGCTCCTCCTGAGGGAGGGTTGGGTTTACAGAGAAGCGTACGATGATCCCCTTCGCCTGTCAGCGTGGCATCATGTAAACTAAACCCAACACCATTAAACCCGTTCTGTCTCGTGTCCGCTACCCCAGCCACTCACCTGTTGCTCTTCAACAGCTGCATAATCAGAGCGACGCAGCTGCTAGGTGGATGCAGAACTACAGACTCAGCAGGGATACCTGGTTTTACGTTACTCTAACAGGCATGGTGTGAAATCAACGCTGGTATTTTCACATCCACATGTGACGTCCCTTCGGCCCTTTGGCACGGTCGTAGCTGCCGTTAGCGGAGAAAACCACGGTGCGTTTCCACACCTCCAGCAGCTTCCTCTGAGCTTTGACAGGTCTGAAAGTTGAAAGTAGAGCCCGCTTCAACAAATCTCGAGCACATGCGTAGCTAATGACTGCCTGCGCCGCTGCGGCTCATGTGTGCCTGTTCTCTTCTGTGAGTGTGTGCACGTGTGAGGACGGCTGAGCGGTGGGAGACAGAGAGCCGAAGGGTAAGGTGTGAGTACAACGCAACAGCTGCCTGTTCACCTGATGAAGGTGTTGGAACTCTGTTGCTGTTGTCAGTTACTGTAATCTCCAACCAACACCCCATCTCCACTTTCCCCATCTTTTCGCTCCCTCATCTACCTCTTTGTTCTCTTCCTTTCATTTCATCACAACAGAGGGAAAAGAGATGGAGCATTTCGTCTACCGGAGGTGAAAAGAACTCGTTGAGTGTAAGTATCGGGGTATCTGGCTGAGAGCAGGGGGTGTGGGCTTCTTTCCTTTGGTGCCAGAGGGGAATAAGAAGAGCCGGGATGGCAAAGGGAAAGGGTGTACTCACGGTAGCAGCACAACCACGTCATCCATGGCCCCTTCAGGGATAAAGTTGGGCTTAACTGCAGCGTTACACACGCCGGCATTACAAAATGTTCCTTCGCCAGCATTTAGCATGCAAATTGGCTTCCAGATTATGCCTTTTGTATTCATTTTCCAAACTGTCAGGCTGTGATGTGGGGAGAATGATAATCAGGCAGATATTGCCCCCTAGCGCTTTGCTGACAATCACTCAAAGGGAGGGTGGGGGAGGGGTGATCTGCGCCATGCTGCAGAGCAGTGATTTGTGTGTGTGTGTGTGTGTGTGTGTGTGTGTGTGTGTGTGTGTGTGTGTGTGTGTGTGTGTGTGTGTGTGTGTGCCAGATGAGGAGATAGACCAGGACCGAGGGTGTAAATAACTCTGAATAAGTTGCGTGTGAGGGTTTTTGGACTTGTAGTGATGAGAAGGGAGTGTTGTGAACAATGAATGGGAAGAAAACAAAATGATGGAAGCTGCTGTGAGTACCTGAGTGATGGAAGTGAGCGGATGTTTTACTGATCAACAAAACGACAACAACAGGTACATCCATGTGTGTGTTACCCGCTGTAGACTTGGGTTTAGCATAACGTTTACGACGAGAGCTTTGGTTGGTGGTTGCAACTTGCTGTCAAAATATTTAAACAAGTGAAACTGTGGATAGATTATAAATAATCATTATCTTTCCTGTTTTAGAAAGATGTTTTATTCTAAGGGAAGGAAAGAAAGATGTCATCTAAAGCCTTTCAATAAATCTCTGATTTGTTTGTCCGGAAAATGCTAAAAACTTCAGTTTATCTCACCAACATCTCCCTTTGCGTTTAGACGGCTGAAGATGCAAATTAGAAAACTAATAGATTCCAGTTTTTAAACATATCTGGAGTAGTGTGGGTGGAGCTAGAAGCACATTGCATTAAAGCACTCCTAGAATAGCAAACAGGAGCTGATTTTGTGTGGAGACGTTTTGCAGTCCGGGAATCTGCTTCAGTGAGGCAGCTGTATGGAAATATGGAAGGCCAAAGGGATAATTGTTTATGTATAAAATGCTAAAAGAGTCAAAGATTTGTGTGCTTTGAACCAATGTCTGACAAATAAAGGCTGTTAAAAAGCTGCTGCTACTTTTATATTTTGCAAAAGAGGATTTAAAAAATGCCTCCTTTAGAGAGTGTTGCTGTCGTCTCAAACCCATACCCGTACCCTTGGATATATCCAGGTAACGGATCAGCGAGGCAAACATTCGGAAAACAACGGTTCATAAAATAGCAGATTTAGTTTAGCAGACCACTTTAGCTTTAGCAATCTGCTTGACACTGTTCCCTGATTTTACTAGCCTTTAGCTTGTCTATCTGTTTGGAACTCCTGTTTTTCCTAACCGAGGTTGTTCATGGAGCTACAGCAGATAAGCTAGTGATGACGCTGCTGTCAGCTACTCCAAACCACAGCTACTAAAGAAGGAAACATGTATGTGAGTTGATATACGCAGAAATACATACAAAATGTGTTATTAACATGTCATAAACCTAACTTTAGAGAAACATTTATTGTCATTTTACAGCTGAAGTTAGTAGAACAGCTGCCGTTTCTGAACATCTATTCTTCTGCAGCGAACAAACTTGATGGACCTTTACATGTCGCCTCCATTTGAGTCTGACTCTTCTGTATGTTCTCCAGTCAGTAAAAACAGCAACAGCATGCATTTGTCCCCAGAGCATCGGGTCAAACCACTGCTGTGGGGAAAAGGGACATTTTACTCTTCGACAGTTCTCAGCCAAGGTGTGCAAAGGTTCTCACACACTGGCCATAATAACACAAAGTTCCTGTGCTTCCTCACCTGGAGCCTGAAATGATGTGCTCAGGTTACCAATGACAGCAAAGCTTTTAAATATGCATATTGGGTCCTTTTGTTAACATTAGGGTTATATTTTTGGAAACATTCATATCTCACATTTACTAGGATACAGTGGCGGGCGGTGCATTCCACCCCTGGGCCTTCAGTGATTTCCTATTCAGTCCAATCTAATTTAATACACCTTAAAATACCATCAATAGGACATCACAGCTGGAGAAACCTCACACACACACACACACACACACACCAGTGGCTGGTCAAGACACATAATTTCCAGAGTCTTTAAGATCAAACTCGCATTCCCATTTGCGAGTAGGAAGCTGACCACGGATACTGTCAAATCTCAGAAATGAAAGACGGGTTTAAGAGATGAGACAATAAAATAAATAAGTAAAGCAAACACATTATTTGCATTTGTTTTGGAGAAAACTGCACCGCGAAACAATTGAACATGTTGGCGCAGCTGCACACACCACGTCATTCACAATATAAATTGCATAGAAACAGAACACAGAATAATTTCATTTTGCCATTTTATTTCGTTACCATTTATTGATTATTAACAAAATAAAATGACAAAACATTAAAAAAATACTAATAAAATGTTTCTACTCACCAACATAAATGTCCAGCATGGATCTCCTCCTCTCCTGCTCAACAAATCCTTTCTCCTGCTGGGACAAGCCAGCTAGCGTTGGAGTCAGACGACCTGTTCTCACAAGATCCATTTTTTCTTGAAAGGTCCGTCTTGAAAATGGTGTGGCAAGTTAATCTGCAACCAAGTCTGTCCCTTCTCCTCTTTCAGCCATCATGTGTTCAAAAATACACCGATAGCTGCCTATAGATACAAATCTCCGTGTTTAGTTTTGATATTTTGCTTCATGCCGCTAGAAAAGTTCTAACTACTGCTCATCCAATCACAGGATGCGTTCATGTCAACTTTTGCGTGAGGCCAGCTAGCTGGCCCGGGCCAAGCTGACTCGTGAGCTGATTGGCTATCGCAACTAGATCGTCTCTGTTCACTTACAGTGGACAGTGGGCTTCTCGATTGATTCTGAAGGCCTAGAGCAGACTTAATCTGCCTGAAAACACAAGCTAGCTTAAATCTGATTGGATAACACCCAGCCTTGGTATTTTAACACTGGAAGCAGCACAGCCAAGTGGGTATAATAGGATATAAAGAAAATAGACCAGTATACATTTTTTTTATTTAAAAATAATTACCAAAGGATAAAAAAAGACATTTACGCTTTTGAGTATGTTTAGGCCAGCAGAGAAGGCTTTGCTGGCCCTGACTGCCCACCACTGCTAGGATAGATCTGCAGGCCAAACCAGGCAGCTGTGGGTTTTTTCGTGCCTTTGTGTGTTTTGTATATTTGGGTTGGTAATCTCTGTTTCTCTCCCACTTGTGTCTGTGAAACCACACTCTGATCTCTTACTGGAAACACGCTGATTTAAATAATGGCCTCTACCTAATGCTTAACGCCAATTTGGTTTAGGCTGTTGCCCCGACACGGGTCATACCGTAGACACATCTGCACACACATCACTAGACCAGAGCCCTGACAGGCTGTTTTTAATCAGCTGATTACATTTGTTTACATTTGAGGAACAGGGAGGCGTGCAGAAAAAAGCAGCAAAGCCTGCAGTATAATTACTATAAAGTTATTTAGAACTACCTGTATAGGTATCGATTGAGCCTCTTCGTTTCTTTGAACAGGATTATATAACTTCAGGGAAACACTTGCAAGTGCTTGGCTTCTTTCCACGTATGTTGTCATTAGCAAAGATTAGAGACAGCCTCTGTGATCAAACATAGTTTCTGTCGGGGCCTGCTATAATAAATTTCCATTTCAGTAAGCTGGCTGAACAACCGTGTTTGATACATTACCTCTTGAAAGGAAATGTTTTACTTAGTGCAGCTTTGGCCTCGTTTTCAAAGGGCTTGTCTTTTTTAAATCTGTTCAGAAGTTTTGGAGCAGCAGGAGCAGACGGGTGGTAAACAGCCTGATCACTTTGTTTGGTGGTAAAACCAAAACTGACTTATGCTGATTTATTTCAGAGGAAATCTCTAGTTACACTTTTAATGAGAGAACAGAAGTTTTAATGGAGACGAGGTGAAGTATTTTAATCCCAAAACTGTCACAAACATTCCTTGGGTCATGTTATGTGTTAAATCCAAGGTTGAATTATAATATGGGCAAACTGGGCACAGGCCCAGGGGCCCACAGCCACAAGGGGGCCCACGCGAGCAGCAGTCTTTTATTTCATTTTATTTAATTTTTTTGTGCAGCAGTCTTAACGTTGGAGAAAAAAGTTAACAAGTAATTAAACTTGTGCCCACATTTTCTAAGTTAACACACATTTCTTTTAATAACGGTAGTTTTTGCATCTTTAATGCCTGCTTCAGCCCTCTCCCCCTCCCCCCGCGCAGTGGCCACAAACTCACTGATGCGCCTGCAGCATCTCAGAGTTACTGCTGATCTAAACATTGAAAGAATCATTTAATTTTCTGTTCCTCACTTCTGATTACCTTCAATGGTGTCTGTTTGTTGCTACCAGGTACAAAAACGAACTTGTTTTTTATTTGACTATTTTTCTGCCCTGTCTATTTATTATCTTCCTGCATCTCCTCTCAATCCTGAAGAAAAACTGCTACCTGGCTTCATATTTTCACCTCATGAGTTACCTTTGAACTGCAGTTCTAAAAGATCTACCGACCGCAAAAATAGCTGAGTGCGTGCCGGCCGCACGGGTGCGGTCACCGGAGGATGAAACAGGTGATGCGCTCGCTCCGCAGCAGCAGCGAAATGCATCAGAGACAGATAAAAGACAGAAAGCATGAAAGGATATGAGCCGACATGAACGACCGCGTGTCAAATTTGTTTTTGAGGTTGCGAGACTTTGATAATGTTACTGTGGCCGTGCTCAGGACACGAGTCAGGAGACAAGAGGAAGAAGGAGGAAGGAGACAAGAGACAAGATGAGGAAGGAGACAAGAGGAGGAAGGTGACAGGAGACTAGAGGAGGAAGGAAACAGGAGACTAGAGGAGGAAGGAAACAGGAGACAAGAGGAGGAAGGAGACAGGAGACTAGAGGAGGAAGGAAACAGGAGACTAGAGGAGGAAGGAAACAGGAGACAAGAGGAGGAAGGAGACAGGAGAAAACAAAAAAACATGCAGATATTTCTTCTTTGCAAACTTTTCAATAACTGTATAATCCTTTAAATAATCCTGCATTACTTTCTGTTGTAGTTTGACAGTGGGATCTCTTTTACAGCAGACTCACTTGCCCCCACTGCCTCACAGATTGGAAACATTTTTGCTAGTACAGACAGAAGAGAAGACAGGGGTGCTGTGAGGAAGAGAGACAGAAAAAGAGGAGAAAAGAGAGAGGACAGAGGAAGGAAGACACATGAGTGAGGCACAACAGGAAAATCATCAGGCATGAGTGTTTGTGGTTAGGTTATCAAACTATTTTGACCAGGAGGTAAATGCTTTTGTATCAACATAAGTAAGCGATTTTTAATATTGACAATGTTATGAAATGTCTAAAAAGTTCTACCGGGTGACAGTAATGTTGGGGAAGGCCAGGTGGGGTGGGGGCGGGGGTGGGGGGTGGGGTGGGGGGGGTGGGGGGGCTAAGCACATTGTGCCCAGGGGCCCCTGCAATGATAATCCGGCCCTGGTTAAATCCCCCTTCAGTACATTAAATACAAATACTGTTGGGGTGGGGTCAACAGGTAACACCAATATGCAAAACCACTAAGCCACAAGATCTCAGCATCTGATACCCATTCTAATGCTTTCTAAAGTCGTTGACTGTGGTGGCCATCTGGGATTGGAGTAACTCCAAAAATGAGTTAACTTGGGTCAGTTATTGGTTTTCTAACGGTCATCTTTAACTCTTCCACTGTCCTCATGGGTGACTCCGCCAGGAAGTTGACCATTGAGCAGGGTTGGTGGTTTATCCGTTCAGGTCCACGTGGCAGGGGTGAGGAGTGAGCACCACCTCACCCCTGCCACGTGGACCTCAAGGGATAAACCACAAACCCTGCTCAATGGTCAACTTTCCTGGCGGAGTCACCCATGAGGACAGTGGAAGGGTTAAAGATGAAATGCTGCCAGCTAGCATTTAGACTGCTTTGTGAACGACGTCCAGAGACCACATCTGATTTTAGGTGATACGTTCAAACCGATTGATTTATATACCCATGTTGGTGTTTGCTAAGCTCAGTGAAGTCAGCTTTAGCGGCCATCTTGAATTAGTTTTACTGAATGGGAGGAGTGGTTGGCCACTGATCGGAAGGTGAGCAGTTCGATCCTAGACTGCGGTTAGATCCTGGTCCGAGTTTTGATGCCAGTTTGATCCTTACCCATGTGGTGGAGTATCCTCAGGCTAATACTAAATCCTGAAGTTGGCTCCATGTGGTGTACGAATGGCAACCTACTGCTCATCTGGGGTGGGTCAAATGCAGATAAATGAATTATCCAATGGGATCATTGAAGTATAAACTAAAAAATTATCATGTGTTTCTATAACATCCATGCAGTGGTTTTGGAGATATTTTCCATTACAAATATGACCTGCCTTTTGCCTTTTAGTGGCTAGCAGTGAAGAAGTTCCAAGCAATCATCCAAATGAGGGGTCATCTCTCCAGGAGGAAGTGGGCTATGTCTTCAAGGCTGAAGCAGTCCCTCAGAGATGCTTGATCCAGACATCAACGATGGCAAAAATCTGAATGTGCAAACCTCAGTTACCTGTCCACTCTGTTTGGTTCTGGCGGCTTTTGTTTTTAGAAGCAGGTTGGATAAAACATGCAGCTGACTTTTTCTTTTCAAAAGTGTTTATTTATAGTTGAAGATCCACAGATGTTCCACCGAACAATTATTAAACTTGAACATGAGACTTTTCCCCTTGGTTTAAAGTTTTTAACCTAAAATGTGTGTGTTTCTCTCCTTTGTCCTCCTCCTCCTCTACCAGGACAAGTCAACCCCAGAAGATCAGAGCTCCTGGGACAGCTTCAAGACCATGACCCCCCAGCTGTCCATCATGCCTGGGGAGCAAAACAACCGTCTGGAACTGCACAATAAAAACTGGGACTCATCCTCAGCTAACACGCCCGACTCATCCGAGGGAGACTTTCAGACTGAAGTGTGAAGACACACACATACACACACACACACACACACACTCTCAAACATTTTCATCTCCTGTCGAGATGAAGATGCACACAGAGATACTGGACTCTAGAAAAGATATACATAGGTATGACTTTTTTTTTCCTTCTTTGTGCGAGGAGATGAGACACTCTGCTCCCGTCTCATGCGACGTGCTTTTGGACCCCATACTGTATTTGTTTACAGCCACGGAGGACAGATATGAAGGGGGGACTGTTCTACTATATATTTTTCGCAAAGACTACTGAAAAGAAAGAACAGGGGCTGGACACGTCCGTGACTGAAGACCGTTTTTAAATGAACTTAAAGGATATAAAAAAAACTTATTTCTGAGAAAAAATGTCTTGATTTTATTCTGAAGATAAGAAGAAAATGTCTTTTGAGTGTTTGACAACACGGGGGGTGGGGTGGGGGGTGAAAAACAAGAATATTTCTGCACTTCTATTGTTTTTTTAATAGCAAAAACAAAAAGATCTCACTGATGTTCCTCATGCTGATAGTCCCTTCCCCTGCACCAAAAGCATTTCTCTGTTTCCCTTCTAAAGAACAACAAAAGGATTCACTCACTCAGATTTTCTAAATGTTTTAAAGTCCTAATTCAGATTTTTTTATGGGAGATTGTTGGAAATGTTATGAATAATTATTAGATTAAAGAAAGCTTTTAATATGGCCTCAAGATGGAGAAACAGAGATTAGCTCTAACTGGATTGACAAGCTAACGGTTAGGCTCAGCACGATCTGTTTTGAAACGGATTTCTGTCATATTAAAAAAACGACTTTATTTTGTAAATATCACTAAATACCCTTTTTAAAAGTGTTCGGCACAGCATAAATGTAGAATTAAATGGGCATTTACCCAGATTCACCGGGTATTAGCGATGTTCACCGTCAGCCACCAATGCGGTGGGGACAACTCCTAACATCAAAAACCTCTTATTGGCCACTTAACTTATGACTAATGAGAGATATATGTAGAAACAGCTATTTTCTCTTTATACAGATAAATGCAGCTCAACATGACAACAAAGCAACAATCGTGCATTTTTATATAAAAGAGACATGTTTCTAATGACAGCAGCTAGCCTTCAGAAATTGGCATGATGAGCCCATGATTACAGGTGTGGTGAAGAGTCATCAGGAAAGTGGCATCAATGATCTCCGTACGTTAGATGACATGGTCTTTCACCATTTACAGGCTGAATGTCAGCAGGACCTTCTATCAAATAAAAATGCAATTGGAGATATTGAGAAAAGTAAGTTTCTTATCGATATAATACAGAAAGCAATAGTAATAATCAGTCATCATTTCAGAAAAGGAACAGTTCCTGGTTTTAAAGAACAGGCTAAGTGTAGAAAGCCCGGTTGAAGATGTATTACTGAATAATAACTTAGAGACTGAAGATGTTTTCTTTAGGATTTCAGAAACCTTTAGTTTGCTTATGTTTTAATCTTTCCACTTAGAACAATTCTCTGTTTCTCCAAGCTGAAGTCATTCACAGTGCACCTTCAACAGGCTGATTGTTCTTAGAGCTGGATCTGAACCACCACTTTAATCACAGAGTACTGGGGGAGGGACCGAGGTAATCACTGATACGTGCCATTCTCCTTCCCGTTCAGCTGTGTCAGCGTTCCATAGTTTATATTGTGTTTTTCATGTTTCAGTCCATGGTTTGACACTGTAAAACAGTGACTGAAACAAATACGTTCAGATTAGTTTGTTTTTAAGTTGTTCATTTTCAGTAGTTACACATGTTTTATTTACAGAGACTGGGTTGTTTTCCAGAGGAACGTGAGGGATGGTCATGTTGAAAACGGCGTCTCCGTCTTTCTTTTACAAATGCTTTCATTGTGGCTGAACCTGATCAGACCCAGTTATAAGTTAGATGCCAGAAGAAAGGAGCTCATATGTGCTCCATTCAAATTCCTTTCACCATGCCGATTTGATTTAGCAACCAGCTCTCACTTGTCAGCCTAATGGAGAAATGGCGTTAGCTTTGTTGGCTGATCATTTGATAAACAAGCTCAAGAGCAACATACAAACATAAATCCAGTCTCTCCAAATCCCCCAGTGTCTCAGGCTGCTGTTTCTCCTCCTCTCTCTCTCCCTGCCCAACAAAAAAACTCTGAAGCATGAAATCTTAATGCTAGCAACAAGGCCTGATGTATAATTCCTCATTCACATGGATCCCCTTCTTTCCCGAGTCTGAGAGCACAGCAGCTGCCAAAAGCGGGCATAAAATAGAAAGATAGAGAAGGAATCACAGAGGTTATGAGGCTGCACAGCGTCACAATGAAGAGGAGCCGACCGTGATGCTTCCTGTTTGACATTCAGCATCCATCCTGGTCGTGATGCAAGAGGATGGCTGCTCGCCTGCTGCTGCTGCTCTAGCACATTGGTTCTCCTCGTTCTGAAGGAAAAATGTGTCAAATTGCTGGACGAATTCAATATGGAACTCAATAACACCTCTGTCTGCGCTGCAAGCAGGTGCCATTAATCTAGAAGGCAGGAGGAAGAAACGAGACGAGTAATAGAGGTGGAAAGCCAAGACAGACTCCAAAGACACATTGGGTTTAAAAAAAAAAACTAAATGCAGGCAGGACTGCAGAAGAAGCTCAGTGCTCAAAACAGTAATTATCCAGGGATGATGATTTGTCCTGACATTTTCCGATGCAGCTCTCAAACCATCTGCTTAAAGATCCCTAATGTGGTAGTAGAGCAGTGCAGCGCAGATGGCGAAACAAGAGTGTTGCCCTCCTAACCTTCCAAGCTAATCAGCTGATAGGAAAACCTATGGCTCCTCCCCTCTCTGGGGAGTGAGACCGGTTTCATCCCAAGTTGCCAAGGTAAGGTCACATTCACCCGACCTCCTGCGTGGCCTTGGGATCCTTCTAACAAAGCCGTCGTCTGGCAGCTACACTCAGTAGGTTTCACTCAGTAGCATTATCCTGCTCTTCTCACGACTATTAAACCGATCTGTTCTGTTGTGTTACCATGGTAATAAGATCTGCTGGATGACAGAAACAATATTTCAGTGCAGAGGTTTTGTTCCATCAGCTATATTTTTGTATTATGTGGACAGTTTTGAGCCCAGTGACTGTTTCAGTTCCTGGAAACTAAGTGAAATGCTTCTGGATGGATTGAGTGGTCCACCATGCATACAACAGCCTGTCTATTTTACAGATTCTGTTTCGGTAATGAAACATGCTGCGATAGTAAATGGAATTTTCAGCCAGTTTCAGCAGTAAGGTTTTAATAAAATGCTATATTCTCCCTTATAGATGGTTTCCTAAAGTTTGCATGACTCAGGACTAATTAGTTAACTGCTGGTTTAAGCTCAACTCAAACCAAAGTGGAATCTAGTCATTTGAAAGCAGCTGTGTCCTGTTATAGAAGCAGTATGGACTTTCCTCTCCCCAGCCACATCTGCCAGCTCCTCCAATGAGATACCAACATGTTCCTAAACCAGCACAGAGCTACACAGATATTTGCACCATCTTGGTTTGGCCTCAGGGTCTCCTCCCAGAAGGAGATGCACAAAACACCTCCCCCAGAAGGAACACATCCTGACCTAATGCCCAAACAGCCCCAGCTAGAGGAGCAGCAGCTCTACTCCAAGTCCCAAACTCAACTCTGAGACATAGCCTGTAATCCCAGCTGCTTGTGTTGGAAGTTTTGTTTTTTGGTCATTATCCAAAGCTCATGAGTAATGGTGAGGGTTGGAATGTGGACTGATGGGCATATAAAACATTTGGCCTCTGGCATCTTGTCCTTCTTACGTCAGTGGTTCAGCATTGCTAAAAAACCGTTAAAGAAAGTGACACTTTGGCCTTTGGACTAGCTAGTCAGTCCAGAAAGATGTAAACAGAGACAGTTCAAGAAGCAGTCTACCATGGGAGACGGTTCTTTTTTTTCTTCTAACATTTAAGCAGAAACAAAAATTCCCATTGGAGAAAACTGGTCAGCTGGTCCGTACAACAGCGTTTGAAGTTGCTTTCATTTCACTGAGTGCTGATGACACCAGAAGCTCACCTCAACCCTACAACCCTGAATGTTCCACTAACTTCTAAAACCACGATTTGTTACTGAAACCTCACCCTCACTTTCTCCCTCATTTTTGGTTCTTTTTATACATAAGATTGTACAAAGTAGTCCTCTAATGTTTTCATAGTGTCTTTTTTATGAAAATAAATTTTCAAACGGATTTCTGTGTCTTGTATGCATCACTTCAAGGGTGTCTGTTGATGAGTACCGCAAGCCTTTCTCTCTCTCAGTGCACTCGCAATACCGTGATTTCATAAACTCACTCAGGGGTCTGGCATGACAAACTGTTACCCAGAAGCATTGAAGCTCAACTGTGACCAATCAGAACTCCCGCTGGTCTGTCTAAAAACATGAGAGAAACAACTCAGTGGGGTCTGAAGCTCTGCTGCTTTGGAGTAACCAAAGGGGCAGATGTCAAGTCCAAGAGAATATTTTGTTGAAAAAAGTTACAAACCTTCAGCAACTCTCGAGCTAAGAACTAATCTTCTAATGTGAAACATCCCAGGTTGAAGTAGCCCTGGTGCTATTCTCCACAGGTTGTAATAGTCCACTCAGTGGTGCTGGAATCAGCGGCACAATTCAATTCAGTTCAAAAATACTTTATTAATCCCAGAGGGAAATTGATTGTTGTAGTAGCTCATAATAATAATAATAATCAAGTCATCAAAGAGTTGTTGTATATTACAATGGCTGTTGGCAGGAAGGATCTCCAGTAGCGGTCAGTGTTGCAGCAAAACTGAAGAAGCCTCTGACTGAAGACACTCTTCCGTTGCCGGACGGTCTTGTGAAGAGAATGCACAAGGTTGTCCATAATTTTCTTGATTCTCTGGAGAATCCTTCTTTGCATTATCTCCTCCAGTGGTTCCACAGTCGTCCCCAGAACAGAACCAGCCTTTTCTATTAGGCTGTTGAGCCTTTTCAGGTCTCTGCTTCTGATGCTGCTACCCCAACAGACGATGGATGAAGAGATTACACTCTCAACAACAGACTTGTAGAAGATCTGCAGCATCTTGCTACAGACATTGAAGGACCATAAGCTTGGTTTATGCTTGACGCATTCACTTTCCACGCGGTGATGCGGCTCGCGGCTGGAACGCGCTTCACAACTCGCAGCGTTTATGGTTTGTGCGGCTTGTCTCTGCGGTGAGCCAATATTCTCCCAAACTGAACGGGGCAGCATGGAGCTCTACGGCATGCATCCAACACTACACCACAGTAGAAGTAGAAATTACTGTTTACAACATGGTATTTCAGCATTTTTAACAGCGTCCTCCTCTTTTCCGACAGTGCGAGCTATTTCTCTCCAAGAATTATTAACAACATGTTGATCACGGTGATCTCAGAGAGCTGAATCATACAAATGGCTGTATTTACGAACCTCTGCCGTGCCGGTCCGCCATGTTTTTCAGCGTCCGACCGTCCGCGTGGTTAGAAATTTTCCAAGGTGCGCGTTGCGGAAATCTTGGGCCGTGCGGAGACGCGGTGGAGGGGTGTGGTTGTTAAAATGACGCAAAATGACGCAACTTTTCCGCGCGGAGCCGTGCGGACCTCGCGGACGCGTCAAGCATAAACCAACCTTAAGCGTCCTCAAGAAGTGCAGTCTGCTGTGTCCCTTCTTGTAAATGGCTTCGCTGTTCTTTCTCCAGTCCAGTCTGTTGTCCAGGTGAACCCCAAGGTATTTGTATTCCTCAACCACCTCCACTTCTTCTCCCATGATAGAAACAGTGTTTGACTACACCCTGTTTCATCTGAAGTCTAAAATCATCTCCTTTGTTTTGTTCACATTCAAGGTCAGATGATTGTTTCCACACCATGCCACAAAGCACTCCACCAGCTCTCTGGTCTCAACTTCCTGTCCATCTCTGATACACCCGACAACTGCAGAGTCATCTGAGTATTTCTGTAGATGACAGGTCTCTGATTTGTACTGGAAGTCTGAGGTGTACAGGGTGAAAAGGAATGGTGAGAGTACAGTCCCCTGTGGTGCTCCAATGTTACTGATCGCCTGGTTTGATGTGCAGTTCTTCAGTCTCACAAACTGTGGTCTGTTTGTCAGGTAGTCTTTAATCCAGGCGATAGTTGAGGGCCCCACCTGTTTCTTCTGGAGTTTCTGGCAAAGTACATCAGGCTGAATTGTGTTGAATGCACTGGAGAGATCAAAGAACATGACCCTCACAGTGCTGCCTGCTTTGTCCAGATGACAGTGGATTGGTTGAAGCAGCTGGAAGATGGCATCTTCAACTCCAACTCCATGGCAATAAGTAAACTGCAGCGGGTCCTGATATGTCTTAGTTTGCTTGTTCAGGTTGACCAACAGGATCTCTCCAGGACCTTCATGATGTGGGATTTCAGGGCAACCGTTCTGTAGTCGTGATTGACTGATGGGCGAGATTTCTTTGGAACTGGAACAAGGCTGGATGTCTTCCACAGGACTGGAACCTTCTCCTGTGCCAGGCTGAGGTTGAAGAGGTGCTGCAGAATCCCACAGAGCTGCTCTGCACAGGCCTTCAGTACTCTGGGGCTGACACCATCTCGACCTGCAGCCTTGTTCCTGTTCAGTCTCTCCAGCTGCCTCTTCACCTGACTTCTAGAGACAGAAAGGTGAGAGGGGGAGGTAGATGGGGCTTGTTGCTTCTGTATACTCCTCAATAATTCCCTGTGTTATGGAAAAAAAATATGTTCATTAATTCTTGATCATGGACTCAATCAATTGAATGTAATATGTAGTGCTCTATGCCTCTCTGCATGCCCACTATTTCAGAACTCATTCAGATACACCCACACAAGCCACTCACTCACACACACACACACACACACACACACACACACACACACACACACACACACGCACACACACCGGGCCCCACATTGTTGGTGGGCTCCCTGCGAACGGACCCCCCAACGTAATGACTGCAAGTGCACACACACACACACACACACACACACACACACACACACACACACACACACACACACACATACACACACACACACACACACACAAAATCTCTCTCTCTCTCTCTTCCATCTCTATAAATAAACTCTGTGACCGGATGTTTGTGGCATTTTGCTTCATGCATTTTGCCACAGTTATAACTGTTTGACTTGTCTGCTCATTGTCTCCTTCTCTCTTCACTATAGGAAATGGGTTAATGACTTCACCACTCTCTCTTTATTCTGCTCTCCCCACCTATTCCACCTTCTTCAGGATCCACTGATTTCCCTCTTTCATGTTCACTCTCTCTCTTTCTTAACGTTTTTTTTAATCACAATTGCCTATATTTGCTCATTTTAAATATATGTTTAAACATTTTCTAAATACTTTTTTATATTTTAAATTTTGTGTTGTTGTGAAGCGCCTCGTGATTTTTATCTTGAGAGGCACTATAGAAGTGATATTATCTTCTTCTTCTTCTTCTAAACATCTCGTCTCGTCTCTCGTCTCGTCTTCCTCCGCTTATCCGGGTCCGGGTCGCGGGGGCAGCATCCCAACTAGGGAGCTCCAGGCCGTCCTCTCCCCGGCCTTGTCCACCAGCTCCTCCGGCAGGACCCCAAGGCGTTCCCGGACCAGATTGGAGATGTAACCTCTCCAACATGTCCTGGGTCGACCCGGGGGCCTTCTGCCGGCAGGACATGCCCGAAACACCTCCCCGGGGAGGCGTCCAGGAGGCATCCTGACCAGATGCCCAAACCACCTCAACTGGCTCCTTTCGATCCGGAGGAGCAGCGGTTCTACTCCGAGTCCCTCCCGAATGTCCGAGCTCCTCACCCTATCTCTAAGGCTGAGCCCGGCCACCCTACGGAGGAAACTCATTTCAGCCGCTTGTATCCGCGATCTCGTTCTTTCGGTCATTACCCAAAGCTCATGACCATAGGTGAGGATTGGGACGTAGATCGACCGGTAAATCGAGAGCCTGGCTTTCTGGCTCAGCTCCCTCTTCCCCACGACAGATCGGCTCAGCGTCCGCATCACTGCAGACGCCGAACCAATCCGTCTGTCGATCTCCCGATCCCTCCTACCCTCACTCGTGAACAAGACCCCGAGATACTTAAACTCCTCCATTTGAGGTAGCACCTCTCCCCCGACCCGGAGGTGGCAAGCCACCCTTTTCCGGTCGAGAACCATGGTCTCAGATTTGGAGGTGCTGATCCTCATCCCAGCCGCTTCACATTCGGCCGCGAACCTACCCAGCAAGAGCTGAAGGTCAGAGCTGGATGAAGCTAGGAGGACCACATCATCCGCAAAAAGCAGAGACGAGATTCTCCTGCCACCAAACTCGACACACTCCACACCACGGCTGCGTCTAGAAATTCTGTCCATAAAAGTGATGAACAGAACCGGTGACAAAGGGCAGCCCTGGCGGAGTCCAACCCTCACTGGGAACAGGTCCGACTTACTACCGGCTATGCGGACCAAACTCACGCTCCTCTGGTAAAGGGACTGAATGGCCCTTAACAGAAAGCCACCCACCCCATACTCCTGGAGCGTCCCCCACAGGGTGCCCCTGGGGACACGGTCATAAGCCTTCTCCAAATCCACAAAGCACATGTGGATTGGTTGGGCAAACTCCCATGCCCCCTCCATCACCCTTGCAAGGGTATAGAGCTGGTCCACAGTTCCACGGCCAGGACGAAAACCACATTGCTCCTCCTCTATCTGAGATTCAACTATCACTCGGACCCTCCTCTCCAGTACCTTGGAGTAGACCTTTCCAGGGAGGCTGAGGAGTGTGATCCCCCTATAGTTGGAGCACACCCTCAGGTCACCCTTCTTAAAGATGGGGACCACCACCCCGGTCTGCCACTCCCTAGGAACTGCCCCCGATGACCACGCAATGTTGTAGAGACGTGTCAACCATGACAGCCCTACAACATCCATTGCCTTGAGATACCCAGGACGAACCTCATCCGCCCCCGGGGCTCCGCCGCTGTGTAGTTGTTTGACTACCTCAGCAACTTCTGCCCCCGAGATCGGACAGTCCATCCCCAGGCCTCCCAGCTCTGGTTCCTCCTCGGAATGCGCATTGGTGGGATTGAGGAGCTCCTCAAAGTGTTCCTTCCACCGTCCGACTATAGCCTCAGTTGACGTCAGCAGCTCCCCATCCCCACTGTAAACAGTGTGAGCGAGTTGCTGCCTTCCTCTCCTGAGGCGCCGGACAG